TTGAGCGGATCCCTTTAAGGTCAAGGCAATTGTGGACTGGCCGGTTCCAAGGAACCAAAAGGATTTGCGCCAGTGTCTTGGCCTCGCCGTCTACTGCACAAGCATAGCGCAAATCATGCGGAAATGGCACAGCCATCGTCGGATCTTTCTAGAGAGATAGGAATGATGTTGGGACACCGAACATCGGGAGGCTTTTGACAGGGTTAAAGGTAGCCTCCTATATGCACCAATATTGGCGTTGCCAGACCTCCATTGTTTTTTTAGTGTATATGTGACGCCTTTGACTTTGCCATCGGCTGTTCACTGCTGCAAGCAGACACCGATGGGTGATTGTGTTCGAATCTCGCCAGCTTAAGGCTGCGGAGAGAAAATATTCAGTCCACGACAAGGAATTAAGTGCGATGAAATATGCATTTTCTCAAGTTCAGGCGCACCTGGTTGGTTCTAAGCCGTTTGTGATCGACACAGATCATGCGTCAGTACTCATTGTGACTTAGTTACCTCACCTCTCGCACAGATTAGACTGAACGCGTGAATCGCGTCGTTGAAGACGTACTTTGCAGCGTCTGCGCTGCGACGTCGATGCGCTAGAGGGCCATGCTTCCACTCGTAGAGTTCGCTCAGAACAGTGCATTGAATTAGCCTACCTGCTACACGCTGTTCTACGGGAACGGGCTCGTTTATCTTCGCGTCCCGCTGACACCGCCATTCTTTGGCTCAGGGCTTGATGGGGAAGAGATGGCCGAGCGGCTAGCTGATGTCAACCCCCCTCGCTGTCCGTAAGGAAGTCGAAGAGTTCTTGTCTATCAGACTGAGTGTCTGACGTCAAGGTCGCGATGCAATGACAGAAAGCCAGCACATGGAAAAAGAATATGCAGACGGAAGAGTTAAGAAATAGACCGGAGACCGATATTTATTGATTGCTAAAAAGTTTCTTTCTATGCAATTTCTGATGTCTTTTAAGATGAAGCTCCGCCCACGGTTTATCGGACCTTTTAAGGTTGTGGCCACGCGGGGCCTTGTGTATACGCAAAACCTTCCGAAACGAATGCGCACACACGTGACGTTTTATGTGGGCCTGCTCAAGCCGTATCGGATTCCGGCGCAGAAAAACGCGGAAACGTTAGCGCCGAAGCGGCACTCCAGGTACTCGAATACCCAGGAACAGGTCCAGTGAGCACGGAGTGCGACCATCACCATCTCCAAAGGTGCCAGATGCTCCACCGTGGCACGAAGCAACGCTCTTGTCTGCTCAATCGACCAATACACCATTGTCCGCCGCTGACTCTTCTCGACGAGAGCGGTGATGCCCAGTATCACGTGGAACGTCTTGTGGGTCGACGATGTTGCCAGAGTCAACCCCTGTATCGTGTGAAGTGGCGGGGATACCCCAATTTCAAGAATTCATGGGAGTTTGAGGTGCCACTTCAACAAGACTACCCAAACGTCGTGGACGCTAATGATCAAAGGGTTCATGACGATTTAGGACGTCGTACACCTCACTCTTCTCTGCAATAGCCAGGGAAGCCAAAGGGCCGTGAGCTGAGCTCAATCGATGGCCCTGAGGTGCTGTTATCTGTACGAGCGATCACAGCGCTCGCGGGTACGTGATGGATTAAACGCTACGTCACAAGGCAACAATACGAAGGAAGTCGGCGAGGCTCCTTGAGTTTGGCAAGCTCGAACCGAGGAAGGGTTCCGCTTGCGGGCGCTCTCGGAACCAGCAAGACTGGGTGTCTTTCTTGTTCTAGACACAGGGCTCGTTGTGCAGATAATGCGCGCAGAAGTCCCTGGGTATGCAGAGGTATCTTAGATACGCGAGCCTCGTATGAGGCGACACTCGAATGTGAATTGTGGGCGCTCACAATTTTGATGGGGGTAATCTAACATGGTTACACGTACCCTGGTATGAATGGGTGGATCACGCAAGATGGTATGACCATACAAGGATGTGGGTTACACAAGTCGGTGCAAACACACAATGGTGTGGCCACACCCTAAGAAGAAGTCAGTACGTGTCTGGACTGCCAGTAGTCACGCATTTTAATTAGACTTTACTATCTAACTATGGAAAACCTATATACTGAGATGTAGGCTGTTCGCCGCAAATAAACAAAAAAAACAGGTTATATTTCGAACGAAAGAGTTTATTTGCATTGGGTTAGGGTTGTTGTTACTTTTGGAGTAAGCGGATTACAAACCGCCACACTCGTACTGAATCTAAGTGTAGAACGAAGGAAACCGACCATATCTTAGCGTCCTCTAAGCGAAAGAGCTACGGAAGCCCCCGCTGCAATGATCGTGTCGTTTTCTAAGAAAGCTTAAGTGGTGTGTCTGGAGTCTGTATATCATTTTGGCTATTTTCATTATCGAGCATTTTGCCTTCGTAACGTTTTATGCCTTCAGGACGTCTGTCAGCGGTCTTGAAGTCTGATCGAGCCATGCTTCTAAAGTAACAGATAAAACAGAAAACCCCGTGTGATGGATCTTTGTAAAAAACACTATCGTAGTTAAAGGAGAATTTGGCCTGCACTTGCTGCTCTTTCACTGACAGTACGCTGCCTCGGAACAAGACTTTATGTCTAAGACCCCAGTGTGGTTTCGGTTTTGATGGGGTGGTTGCGGGATACGTATCGTATTTTGGCGTACACACATTACTCTGGATTCCACCGGTTCTGGAGCAAAGATCAGAAATAATATTGAATGACCAAGATAAAGTTTTGTTATGAGTACTAGGGACGAATTTGAAGTGGCCGTACTGTGAAAAGAGAGGATCGGTGGGGCACGTGGGGTACAAGCCACATACAATGAGAAAGATAGAATTTTCTTGTCGTAATGGTAAAACATTTATACTGTGGGAAAAGCTTAATTTTAGTCATAACGCTGGGAAAGTGTATAGTACTTGGTACTTGAAAGGTTGGTGGCCTAGAGACAGCCTGTGAACCTCGTTGGTGAACGCGGACAATACGAGTGCAAGATGTGCGACAGCCGCTTTGCTGGCAGTTCTGACATGTAGTTTGGTGTTGGAGCCAGTCGTCAAAACCTGAACATTATGCATGATAATACTAGTCTGCTATGACGTATTTACTGATGTATCGTTGTATTCTTTTGCTACATAGAAGAAAAAGTATACAAGGTGTAAAGTAACACCGTAAGTGTCATACATGCCGCAATTACTGACAGCGGCAACAGCGTATTTATCTGATGGGGTCAAACAGCAAGCCCATAAAATTTTCCACTGATGCATTTAATTCCGACCTTCTGGGATTTGGGGAGACACCAATACGATGCTAGGAAAACCTGTCTTATTTGATCCGACTTCTTGTTTTTACTATATCGCTGGCGCCACCTCCTTGCAGTTTATTTAGCGTTCTCAACCGCCCTTCCTTGCCAATTGCGCAACAGCAAAGCTATATTGTCAATGATAAGACCTATCGTTCGCTTGTTTCAAGCAGGTAAAAGGTTTCCAATATGTAATCACGCAGATTTGCTAGTGGAATAGCAAGTTTCTGAATAGGACGGCTTTATCAGGAAGCTAATTAACGTGTCACTGTGTTATAAACAAGCAATGTGGGTATGCAAGAATTGCTATGCTAAAAGTCTCAGGCGGAATATTCGTACGTGCTTGGGAAAGCAGGTACAAGTTTATGAAGTGATTGGCTTACTAGTAGAAAGTGTATCACGCAGATCCGCACAATCACAAAATACATAAATGAATCGCCGCAAATTAATCTATTTTCCCGTCTGTCAATATTCAAGCGCTTTCTATACTTCGGCATTTGTCTAGATTAGCAAATTAGAACGGCAAGCTTTTCTCTGTCAACCAGAAAAGTACTGACGCTTGCAGCAAATAATAGTTTGTCGTCGACAATATGGTAATCATCGAATCGAGTGTTGATGCAGAAGATCAAATCGGCTATCAGTATCATCACGCAGAAGTCGAAGTCATTCAACCACATCAGTATTTGATAATTATGCTAATCAAGTCGCAAGTTCTTGAAGCAGGGCTGCATGCAATAATTATCAAAATTGAAAGTGTTTGTCATCACCTTGAGCTTGCAAGAATGCACTGCTCGCGCTTTTGAGGAACTTGGTATAAGCTGTAGAATGCGGTATCGATGCCAGCTTCACGCCAGTGTACTGGATAACACAAATTTACTACCTTAATTGAGACAACAACGTAGCATTAACATGATGAAACAAAGTTGGCTCAAATATCATCGTTCAGTTGTGCAGATCTTTATAACTCATCTACCCTTACAATATTTACGATGTCATAGTCGATCTCACATACTGAAGACCTGCATTGGTTTTTGAAGAATCAAGAATGACTCTTGATCGACTCATCACCTATCGCTCCTCTACAGCCAAGAACCAACACAGTTCGCCAATAGAACATGATTTTGCGATGCGCTACACTTAAGATCGTCTAAATGGCCCCTGCCTACTTGATCCCCAGGCTTGTAATTGGTTTAAAGTAACCGCATTCCCGCTCGTCCTGAACTTAAGATGTACGACCCATTTACACATGGTGTTGCCTCAAAATCAGGTGTCACACAACTTTTAAATTCGGCAACAGTCTCATAAGGCCAGGATGGCATGAGCGTCGCTCACTGTCCATACATCTTCTTCATCGAAGTGGTTTTTAACAATGTGCCACACTTTTTGAATTGCAAAGTCAAAGTGCAAACGCGAAAACCTTCATCAGTTTGTGATCAAAATCTTCAACCGAGTTTCGTTGAAGTTGAGTTTGAATAGAGTCAGAGTCAGTCTAAGAGTTTGAATGCACAATTAACGAGTAAAATTATATAGCAAGTTTCGTCCTCCACGCTGGCATATAAGAAACATCCCAGAAGATGTAGAAAAAAATTGAGAGCAGTAATTCTACAAACAAACAGTTTTTTTCAAAAAGGTTGATAGTGAAGCTCTGATGAGAAGACTCTCCTAAAAACGATTCGACCATCCCACGTGGTATACTCCGAATTATTAAATAAACGAGCACAAGTTAACTCGTTGCCAGGTCAGAAAAATCTATTTATTAAAAGGCCAACTTCTTCCTGCCATTGTGCAGACACGACGAGATTTGTATTATGGATGGTGGTATTAAATCGTTCGGGCCCGTTTCGTAGTGCATGGGTGCGAATGAAATGAATTTGTGATACGTGTACCTTAAATTGCAATACGACACTGTTGCCATGACACGGCATTAGCCTCATTGCTAACTGACACTGAAAAATATAGCTGCGATGCGTTCATTCAGCTTGCGGTAGTCAAATATCATATCACTTCAATGGATTGAATGTATGATCTATTGAACATGTAAATAGTGGATATAACAGATAGTGGTCGGCCCAATGTTGCGATCACATGACAGAAGGTGTCAGCAGCGTCTGAGACCTAGGTATATAAAATTTCTTTTTTTTAAGTGGTTTGTATCAAAATTAGGAGCACACGTGTGCGTGATTGGCTATTAAATAACTTGACAGTGCTGAGGGTAGAAAAAGTGATGCTGATCTAGTAAAGAAACAACTAGACTTCTTTACTGCTGTCTCTTGTTGTTACTAATGTAGCTGTCATCAGATTTCTCACTCTTTTTTGTTTTGAAGTTGGACAAATTGTACATTTATATTAAGTATCAGTTTTTTAATTGAAAAATTTCAAACTGTGTACAAAATCCAACATAAAGTATTGATATGCTGGCAGGTCTTTACACCTCTTGGACATCCGTATACTAGTTCTGCACCGGATCCAAGCCTGATTCGAGCATTCATGCCTCTCAATGTAGGGCTAGTCGGCCGTGCTACGCTCCTAGTTTGGTTATGGCAATTATTCCAGCGCAACCATAGCTCACTTCAAAATTTAGCTGATTCACAAGCACCCTGACGAACTTTTCGAGATTCATGACCAAGCAACCAATTTTCACACTCGAAGATGCCAAATGCTCCTTCAGCCTCTTTTGCTGTATGTTCGGGGTAGGCACACTAAGTATGCCAGCAAATTTCGCTCGCGCAGGACCGACCTTGGGCTTAACAGCCATTACTTTTATGGCTTTCGCCAACATCTACGCTTCAGTTGTCATGTCTAAAGTTCTTCTACTCGCCCCCAGCTCAGTCAACACATTTAGCGACCTCGGTGAATGGTGCATGGGGAGAGGCGGTCGCTGGCTGTGCATCACCTCGCAAATGGGTTCATGCTTGCTTATGCCCTGTGTGTTTTTAGTACTCGGTGGTGGCCTGCTCGATGGTCTGTTTCCAGGTGCCTGGGATACTACAACCTGGATCATTTTGATGACGATTACAGTACTTCCACTAGCCCTTGTTCCAACTTTAAAGGAGGGTGCTGGTGCAGCGTTCGCTGGTACTATGGGAACTATTGTTGCAGATTTCTTTGGCGTTGCGATTGTAGTTCACGGTATGCGAGATCACCCGTCCGTGCCAACGCCTGAGCTTAGTATCTCTCAAATTGTTGGCGCGTTCGGCAGTCTCGCCATGGGCTTTGGTGCTGGCATTGTTTTGTCGGATGTACAGCGTCAGCATAGTGACCCTACCCGTATGCCTCGCGTGGTAGTCGTCACTATGACTGCTGTTACATGTTTGCTGCTCATTCTTGGACTGGTGCCATATTTATCAGTTGGATGCCAAGTGTCGGGAAATTTATTATACGTCATCTATCCAGACGATACGACTGGTCTTACTACACTGGGCTTCGCTCCGAAGTGGGGCACTGTTGTCTTAGCGTACCTAGCGATGCAGATACATGTTACTATCGCCTTTTCTGTACTCATCAATCCGGCTTTCTATATCGCTGAGCGCCTGGTCTTAGGTATGCACCAGAGATCGTCGACAGATATCGAAAACGGTACGGGTTACCAGGAATCTGCCACGCTTGCGGACCTTCAAAAGGCGATGGATGGATCCGTGGCATCCAGTCACCGTTCGCGAACGTCTGTCTTTCCTCTAACTGGAGAAATCAAGAACGACCACGATCTCGAGGCTGCTGAGTATCGCGGTGCCAATGCGATCAAATACATAGTGCTTCGTCTTACAATTATTGTCGTGCTCGTGGTGATGTCGATTTTGTTCAAGGACCATTTCTCGGATTTTGTCGACTTTGTGGGTGCATCGGCTATCACAGCCAATTGTATCGTTTTGCCCACTGTCTTCTACCTTACCAAGACATGGAATATCGTTCCGATGTATGAAAAATTTGGTGCCGGCGCTATCGTTGTCGTTTGTACTGGGTTGGGGTTATACTCGACATTTACAGCCGGCAAAAACTTGTTCGCGCCAGGCGACTCGGATGCGCTGTTTCCGTACTGTGAGGCCGAATTTCAGGACATTGTATACTTCAACCAAACGGCTTAAAGTTTACGGTACTAATGTGCGTTTCTCCTAAAATGTAATACGTCTAAACAAATTTAAAATCGTAATGCGGTGTATCATTAAATAGCTTACCTTTGATGAAATAACGAAGTGTTGTGTCTGCTGCACGACATCTTGAAATCCCGGATCCCCTGATGGTGACCCCTTAACTGAACTAGTGATAAAAGTGTTTTGCGCAAAAAGAATACATTCCGATATAGAATATTAAGCGCATGCTGCCAACCATTGTCTCCAATATTATACTATAAAGGTACGACGACGAAAAAGTCAGGACTCTCAGATATGCGAGCCAATTATTCGAGGGGATTGTACACTTACAACGATCAAAAAGGTGTTGTGTGTCCAAGCAATTGAATTTGAAGATTAAACGCCCAGATGGTAAGAGTAATCCTGTGTATGGATCCCTTAAACATTTGATTCAATTATATATAAAACAGCCCAGTACAAACAATACAACATTTGTAAGAGATCCATATTACAATTTGGTGTAATTCTGGATACCAAAAAAATGACATTCATCAATATGTAGTACCTGGAAAAGAAGGGTTCGTGGTCTACCTAGGCTGCTAGCGAAATGTCAGAAAATAAAGACAGTTTGACAGTAAGAGTATATATTTAGTGTGAACCTAAGGTTAATTTATCTCTTGGATACGTGCAGAGCTATCTCGACACAAAGTTACGGTAGAGACTCTCGAATCCACTCCTGGAAGGAGTGCACAACCTCCGTGCGTAGCTTAATGTAGATTCTGAGTGTCAAAGCTTTCTATGTGCAAAATTTATGGCAATATCAGCTCACTTGGCAGCACTTGGAATCCATCTCGCGCTCTAATCGCGAGGCAGATCCAGGAGCGCACCAACCGAGCCAGTTGAAACTAGATGGTTATCACCGCGAAGCCGCTGATGTTGAACATGTAAGTCTTAAGAACCGAGACTGATTAAATCTTACCTCCTGACTTGGGAAAATTAAGATGGTCAAGGATTCAACCATACTTCTAACGGATTGACAGCAAGTCGCGCTTGTGATGCCCAAGCTAAGAGACCGCACGATAATGGACACTAACGGACATTACTCGTTAAAAGAGGCATTGGCAATTTTTGAAAATTGAAGAAGGATATTCACGTCAGAACAATCTTTTCACAGAAGATAGGCATCGCACTTAATGCGGGGTACAACTTCCATGCCGCGAACTCTGGATAGGGTAGGATCGGCCACCGCGTCAAACGCGATGGACTTCACTTATTCTTAGAGGATTCGAGTATCTTAACTGCCGAGTACTCGGAGACGCTTAATTCGCCGTGAGAGAAAGTATTTTAACCTTGCCTGCCCCGTTCGCCCTGACGTGGAAGGCTTCCACTTAAGGGCGGCGCAACGAGGCTTCGAGTCTCAATATGCCGCTTAATGTCTACTGGAGAGAAATGGGTTATATCATGGAGGTTGTGGTTAACGGGGCTCGACCGCAACATGTGCGACTCTCTCTAAGAGTTGAATCTTACAGGCAAGCGTTATTTGTTCTAGATATCAGTGTTTTCAGGCTCAGGAAATTGTAGAAAGTCTGAAATATTTAAGAGAGTCGTGCAATTACGTAAGACGTGTGCCTTCAGAAAACAGTTGACAGTACTCGGAGACATATGAAATCCGTGCGCCTTGCGATAGGAACACTAGTGAGAATGTCGAAGGTAACAGTTATTCTTCAAGTGAGGTTTGATGTCTCTGACAGAGTGAAATGTCGAGTACTGGACCTAGATTTGATATACGGTCTCATTGTAGTTATGGCGTGACTGGAAGGCCACGAGCCGCTCGCGGTAGCTGCGACACCCATTTATTTCCGCTCCTCACCACACATGACAAAGGAGCAGCTCACGCCTATATTCCACTTTCCCGCCAAAAAATACACTCTGGAGACCATCGCCCTTCATGTCACCATATAAACTCCGAAGGTCGCAATAAACTATCACTTTAGACTATCCGAATACCGCGGCTTACTGCCGCTTTTGTCTCCTGAACGCTGAATGAGGCACGTAGCAATTCCATTCCTTTGCAATCACTCACATATCCCGCATGAAAGGTATTGCAGCTTCGACCCCGCACTAGATGCAATTGTGTTACCAGAAGAGGCGGGTTTGTAGCCCATCACTGCGTGACTCTCAACTAATAAAAATTTTAATACACCACAGAGCTTAAGGGTGACTATAAGCTGCAAGTATAAGGACCAAGCGCTGAAGATAAGGGAAGATATTCATCTTGGCTGTGCTGTGATGGTACTGTTGAGGCAGCACAACCGTTTACCGCAGAGCGGAAAAGCCCACTGGTAATTCACGCGCAAATAGAATGATCAGGGTAGTCCTTCATTTATTTTCGGGGATCGCGGAAAAAAATGAAAGACCAAAACGGCGAACTTTGTGCCGCAGGAGGAGCTTATATCGTCTTCTGTCAATGGATGAATCCATTCTTGAAGACACTCGCCTAGCATTGATACGAAGAATTTGGAATTTCTACCCAAGAATCCATTGGATCCTTATTTTCCTTTGTTGATGAAACATCACACTTGGATGAAAAGCGAGTCACCACGCATGCTGATGACGAATCTAGAAGTGCGTCATAAAAATGACCTAGTGTCCGAAACCAGAAATTGTGTCATAAGGTAATGGCCCTTACCATAGAAATAGTGTGATATGATTGATGCATTCTTCGCTGCAGAGATTAAGCGGGTTTTGTATGAGGGGACACACTGAACGTCAATTTTTGCATTTGAAGGCGAGCGGCAATTTGCAAATTATGCATACTTTCAATAAGTCTAATGCATCCACAATTCCGATGCAATCTCCAAATGTGCTGTCGAGCAACAGGAACGGCTGCTCTTTGTTTAGTGCATTTCGCCAAGTTGATGGCTTTTATCAATCTATGATGAGAGGACAATAATATTGCTCTCATTTCGGTGGGTCCTCAAACGTGATCCTCTGGGAGTGGATGGGTATGCCACAGTGACTATCTGCTGCGTCAGGAACGTCCAACCGTTCGATGACACAGCTATTCAGGTTATATTGCGGCTATGCACTCATCCTTAGTCGCGCAGAACACGGAAGTTGGATGTAGAAATCAACGGTAAATACTTGCTCGAATATCTGCGCTTGAAAAAGCTATTAGCAAATGAAGAATATTCTTAGGTGCCGACAACATTCCCGCCTAACATTTTATTAGAAAGAAGGGTGTGCAACAGTAAAGGTGATTGTAGTTTGGCGAGTGTCGCTGTCCCAAAAGGGCTTGAGAAAGAGGCGAGACCAAGTACTTGCAAAAATACAGTATCATAATTGCCGACATGACACGACCCCTTACCAAAAGTATGTTAAATGATGTTGGGATGCGGAAGTCGAAGTGGGAGACAAACTGTCATATACGTAAATCGTTTTTGGCGCTTTTAAAGCCGGATCAGCATATTAATGTCGTACATGACCTCAAGTCTTTGCCATAAGCGAAACTTAGCTTTTACGAGAGGTCAATGGGCATGATTGTATGATTGCGATAAAGTCTTGCCAGTTTGGAGCGTCAAAAAGAATTACCATGCTTACGACAATTAAATTCTTGCGATGATTTGATGATTTTCGCCAATTTCGGGATACACTAGTTTGGACCAAAACCTTTAGTCAGCGATACAGCTTGTGCGGTGTTGTGCACAGCGATGTTTTCACCATAGCTCTCACGAAGAATGACAAGATTGTCGTTCGACTTTGTCGAGTACACCTTCGAGGTAAGGCAAGGGCTGGGTACACTTCACGTGGTGGTGAATGCGCTTTCGCGTTACTCTGACAGTGAACTATCGCAAGTTCGTCGTGCCGTCACCAGCTGATGAGGTGATACGTACAGTGTACGGTCGAACGCATGTGTCGCGCTGATAAATGCTTTGAAAGCAAAGCATTCTAAAACATAATGTCGCGTTCCTAAAAAACTGCCGATATACGTATGTGCTGTTATGCCCAACTCAAGACTTGAAGTAACGCAGTACTTACCAAATGACACCAAGCGTGTAGTGATGCCACATGACGAGGACCACAAGTAGAGAATACTGTGTTAGGCACATGAAAAGTCTTTGGATGGCCGCCTCCTACAAGAAGATATTTACTGCTCGGTGAAGCTGTGTATTAGTGACCAACCACGTATTAATGGGTAAGCACAAATGCACGCGTTTAATATGTATAAATAGATCAAGTTCTTGACGCATGCGGCGGCACATTTTATCAGCCTGACAGCTCGAGCAGATACTGGCAGTCTACAGTATGGTCACATTTTATATTTTAAACGACTCGTCTAGTAATGCCATCATCGTGATTTTTACGAATATGCGTGTACGCTATTGGTTATACAACAGCAACACGTCTATGCTAGAGGCAGGCAAAATGGACAAAAAGGTTCTGGTAACACCATCAACCAACCTCTGCATGCAGTGTCTATCATCTCTAAGACTACATTGCTACCGCATTATATCGGTCAAAAAACGATCATCACGAAGATGAGATTGAGTTATACACTTAGCATCCCAAAGAATTGCAATCCCTCCTGTATATAACGCGGCTACTGAAGTCATGCGACTAACCCGCTCATACAATCAAGTCGGATCCGAATAGCACTGGGCAGCATTTTCACCATACTTCAAGCTCTCTGCCACAAAGCAACGACAGAGGAATAAATTCGCAGCGGTCGTCAAGCCATGATGAAGATAAAGAACGCGTTCTGGATCTGGCTTATCTCAATCCTGGATGCACACCAAGATTCAAGGAGAACGGTGTGTGCCGCCACAACTGTTGATCGCCACTGGCAATGTTTGTTGAGAAACGGGAAGCCCACATTCACGTGGATCATATGGTAGACCATCGAAAGTTCAAGCGCCATTTTTAGTGCCTGGTCACACACATGAGGCAGATACTCTCATTTAACACATTTTGGGGAGTGGAGACTCCACTTCTTCAAGATTGTGAGGTGGTCACTT